GAAAGACGACATGTACAACAAGGCACTCATTATCAAGCATGGGAGACAAGAAGAAATGAATGAATGAATGAATGACTGTGTACTGATGTATATACAGTACAGTATTTAACTGGCTTAACCTAGAATGAAGATGCAGATGGCTTGTGTATGTGGGAATCTCTGGTATGGAACAAAAAGGAATAAGACAAAAGGTGAAAGGAAAAGGAAGCCAGAAATGGGTCCGGATACAGTGATGAGGTTTTTTTCAGAGCTCATTGACCTTGCTATAGCTTTGTATAGCATGTTCTGCAGGGTGAGCCCTGTGACGATTGTGTTTGACGACAAGCATATGCTTGAAGTCCCGTCAATAGTCTTTGAAGAGTCTTTCACTAGGAAAGACGGAATAAAGAGTTCATCTCATGTTTCCTGATATTCACACCGGAAGCTTTGAGATCTCTTTTTTGAAATATTCGTAGAACGACATGAGCATGACGTTTTGGAATGTTGTACGAATGACAGACACAGAAATCCCCATATAAGGAGACCTAGCTGCCTGCATCGCTCCCTTTTCGGCCTGTTTCGAAAGGCCCAATAAAACACTTTGTAGTCGAGTCTTTTTTGTGTCAAGGGGATATGTCTGCCGAAGAAATAGGGGAAACCTGTCAGTACGCTTCCCTTCCTCGTAGCAAACGCCAGACTGTTCGAACTCACCAGCATCCATGGGAAAACACTGCACAACGCTCCCGCAACAATCGGCGCCGCAACACTCGCCTGACTCCCCGGGAAATACGCAAACATCATCTGTTTAGTCGTCTCATAAACTCCAAAATATAATCCCGTCCCAATTGTATCCCTCGTGGCATGTAAGTGCACACCCGTATATAACCCTCTAAATCCATGGCGCGCCACAATCTGTCGAAAGGCTTCCCACGTGTTAATGTGGCGTGGATGAGATCGCTTTAATGATTGTGATGATGATGAGGGGTTGTTTGGGGATGTTGTGGATGCACGGGAGTTCCCGTTGTCAGCTAATGTTCGGACATCGCCGCCATCTCGTCTATATCCCATAAGCACCGAAGTCTGTACCACGTTCTTCGCAAGTTCAAATGGACCTGGTGTAACGAGGCAAATTGTTAGCTCAGGTAAACAGCGGAATTGCAATGACCTTGCGAACCAATACGATTGGCCGGCAGCACAAGGGAATAGGTTGAGAGGGTTGCACGCACATGCGATTGGGACAGAGGCTAGTCCTGATATCATGCCTGATGACACGGAGCACAGAACTGTTGAGACAGTTGGCAGTCTGCCGGGAGCATTATATACGTCCAAAGCATTCTCGCCCGTCAATGGCTCGATGACATCTGCGCAGAAGCTCTTTAGGTGTCCTTGTACTGTGAAGTTGATCGCGCGGACTAATGTGACGCTGACCAAGGGGGCTGCGAAGCCTGTTTATCGTATTAGAAGAATCAGGTCAGCAACGCAAGCCCCAAACACATATAGCAGATGCTTATGCATGTTTGCTCCAATTCCGCACTCCGAGTATGTGCGACATGTGTGGCACAAGGACAGGATGGGGTCATTGTAAATCGAAGTTGTCGCACGAAATCCGGGGGTGGATTGACTGACCAGCTGCGTAACCTCGAAGCCCTTCGGTTGTGTAAATGAATTTCGCCGCATCAGATATACTTCTGAACTTGTGCCTGAGAGAACCGTTAGGAACTGAGCACGAATAGATGCGCAAAAGGTGACGGATGACAATGGGTAAGGACAGGGTAGTGACGACTGATGACAGACGCTATTATGCGGAGGATCACCTACATCTGCATCCGCGTCTTGAGATTCTCTAGTGGGGTCTGGCAAATCGGTCAGCCACATCGAATCCCATCTCTCTCTCTCACACACAGATGCGATAGCATTGCTTCCGTGAAAGGCAAAAACAAAGAAACGATAGTCGCACACACAATCGCTATCGAAGGAGTCACATCATACCGCTGATAATGTAGCGATCACCGTAGCCGGTATGGAGGCTGAAAGCAGTGGGTAGCTCTGGAGCCATCGATTGCGGATTTTTGTTGCATCGTCCATTGCAGTCATGTATGGAGATGGGAATCCCAGGGAAGATTGGGCAAAGCCCGTCGGAGAGGTGGTGGAGGGATAGGCGGAACGAGAGGATAAGGAGGGAGAGGGATTCAGGGTTGATGTCAGGGAGGCATTCTTGCCATCGTCATCGCTATGCTTCCACGATGGCATTGTTCAGGAATGACTGTTTTCTTTTGGCAGGGTACGCGGCTGAACGGATTTTTTCCGACGTAGAATGCCGTCGGCAGTGGGCGCCCTCTCTATGGGGCCGGTACACTCAACGGTAAAAGGATAGAAGTCGAAAAATCAAGAATACGCAGCTCAGTATAGACTGAGAGGCATGCGATAGCTATGAGGAGTGGGCCTGTCAACTCTAATAAACCTAGCAAGCTTGGTAAATGTATCCTGCAGCTTGCCTAGACAGACAAATGGGCAAAGACGATTTTCTTGAAATGCCCTGATCGGGAGGATGAATGGGTCTGATCAACAAGACAAGGAGCAATCCGTGAAGACTTCAAGGTCAATTGAGGCCCTGAGCTCTAGTATCGAATGGGTAAATCGTAATCCTTATTCATGGAAACTTCTCTCGAACCGTCGCTCCGGTCCGGTTAAGGGTATCCGACAAGCTAATCAGGGAGGAGAT